AGTTCAGCATAGTTCAGCTGTTTTTGGTGGATCTCAGTCGGAGGACGTCGGAGATCTTTGACCGGTCTGTTGGTGAGGGATTCTCGCACAGTTGGTGCTGCTACATGTACAGATGTTCCAAGCTGCTACAACATGTACGGTTTAAGCTGGATATATAATGTTTATATATAGTTATATAATTACATGATGAAATAGGACCCTTTGACCAGTTTGCGGCGGATTCGTTGCTAAAGGATGACTGCTATATATTGGTTGTTCTTTTTTTGCATGCTTGCTTGCTTGCTTGCTTTCTTGTTTGTTTGTTTTGTTTGTTTGTTTGTTTGTTTGTTGGTTGGTTGGTTGGTTGGTTGGTTGGTTGGTTGGTTGTTTTTTGTTTGTTTGTTTGTTTCTTTGTTTGTTTTTGTGTTACTTTGTGTTCGTTTGTTTTTGTGTGTTCGTTTGTTCGTTGTTTGGTGTGGTTTGGTTTGATTTGGTTTGTGTTTTGGCATTTGTCTGGTTAGTTTACTGGTTTGTTGGTGGTTGTGTGTTGTGGACACATTTGATTCAATGAAGACACTAGTCATGGAAGTCCTTCGTCAATCTTGCCCAATTACTCAAGCATCGTCAACCATGTGTTCTTTCCCGGGCCTTTGTGTACACTTCTTTTGGCCTGAAGCTTCTTGCAGCGTCAAGCAGTTCACCAGAAAAGGCCAAGATGAGGGGAGAACGGAATCTGACCTCTCCCAGCTTTTCATGGCGATCGTCGACCCACGGTTTCGGCACATCGTGCAGGTGTCCTATGAGGCCTTTCGCCACTTCGCACGTGGGATCACATCGGTCTCAACATGTTCACTGCGTGGTCGGGTTGAACATCGACAGAACTCTCGCATTTCTCGCACCGCTGCTTCATCATGCACAGCTGGAAAATGGGTCTACATTTCTTACGTTATATACGGATGCATTGAGATTTGTGAAGCGAAGCACGGCGACATGAAATACTCAAGCCACTCACCTCTGAGACACAGAGAGTTTGCATTTACTGTAGGGTCAAGCCCGCTGAGCCAAATGGAAGCCCCTACAAAGCGTGGGTGAGTGGCCACCAGTGGCCACCTGGCCATGCCGAGAACCCTGGAGAATGGATTTGATGATTGAAGCCGGCTGAAACAGGTGAGCTGCTCAGGTGTCTTGAGGTGGATGAGACTCAGCAAGTTGTGGACTGAACCTGAAAGAACAGAGGCTCCACTGACTACTCCACTCTTGTCATGCTGCAGTGATATGTGACGAGCACTGAGCTGAGTGTCACAGATGCCAGCAGATCTACAAAGTTTATTTTTTGTTAGATTTGATAAGTTTTTCAACTGTTCGGCTCAGCTGGTTGGAAGTGGAACACCCCGGCAGCCTGATGTTGGGTCTGAAGTTGAGAGCCTCGAATCTGATACACCTGCTGCAGGGCACCTAAGGTGAAACACCATGGCTGATCCAAGCTCTTGTCGTGGAGGCAGCAGATGGAAAAGAAAGCGTGCCAAAAACTAACTCCGCACAATGAACAGCAAGAACCCCTGACAGCAAAAGGGACGCATAGGAAAGCAATTGTTGTCGTGTTTGTTTGCCTGCAGTAGCATCCTCCTTTTTACTGGTGAACGATTCAATGAGACAGAGGCAAGACATGTAGCATAATCCACTTCATTGCGGTTCAGTTGGCAAGGCATGCAGCTCTTTGGCGTCAGAGCGCCTCTGGCTAGTATTGCGCAGCATCCGCTGAGCGGTTGAGAACCTCAACCAATGCTGAGCGGCTGAGACCGACCCAGAATCTCACATGTATTCCTGGCCAGAAAATAAGCAAAAAGAACATCAAACAACGTATTTTGCTTCGAGTGATCCCCACCATGACATTTCAATTTGTTTTCATGCCATGGTGAGGAGCATGTTGCCATGGTCGTGGTTTTTGTGGATTTCCATTTTGATTGTGTGCCCTTGGGTTTGGGTTTGCCACTATATAGCTCCTGCTTGCTGGCGCTGTTGCTGCGCGCTCGTGCGGGCTCACACTGGGCGCCCACACAGCGGGCAAAGTCAATCAGCACGCCCCCTATCTATATGCCCACTATCTATACGCCCACTATATAGGTCCTGGTTGCTGCGCGCTCAGACGAAACACCCACTATTAGACTACAACCGCCGACGACGACCACTACTTCTACTACTACTACTACTACGACCACCACCACCACCACCACCACCACCACCACTACCAAAACTTGTCCATGTTGTGTGTTTGTGGTTGTGTGGTTGTGTGTATGTGGTTGTGTGTTGTTGGTTGTGTATTGTGTGTTGTGTGTTTGTGGTTGTGTTGTTGGTTGTGTGTTGTGTGTTTGTGGTTGTGTTTTTTTGGTTGTGTGTTGTTAGGCACCTCTGACTTTTACCTCTGCTACGACCACTGCTACTGCTACTGCTATTACTACTACTACTACTATCACGACGACGACGACGATGACTATACTATTATTACACCTACTCCAACTCCTACTCCTGCCAGTGCCACTACCACTACCGGTTACCACTCCTACTTATGTTGTGTCAAATCTCCAGGAAAAAGTGGTAGTTCCACAAACCCTCGTGAACTAGTACGGCTTGGCGAGTGCTTGGAACCCTCATTCGGGGACAAACGTGTACACCATTGTAGTTCTGCGGTCGCAGGTGTGCAGGACTGGACGGCTATGGCTCCAAACCGGTGGACTGGCAAGTCCAAGGGGACTGTTGCACTGCGGCGCAGCCAAGACGGCCAACGTTCGGCTTTCAGACCAGCAGGCGGAATTTGGAACATGCCGGTGAAATCCTGTGAACAAGCGCAGAGAAGCACTGCCAAAAACAACATGTTCCATATTCTGCGCTATGTGCGCCAAGCATCAGTTTTCTCCTCCTTGCCGGTTTCGTCGGAAAGAACACAATTTTTTTTCCGCGATTTGCCCTTGGAGGGCGCAAGACTTTTCAGGTGCAAAATTCCAGGCGTCTCACGTCTCACGTTGTTGTTCCCCACGTTTCCCCGGCGCCACGTCGTTTCTAGGAACCGATCTGGCAAAGTCTGGCAATGAACCCAGTATGATCCCTGTGAAACTAATTCCTAGATAAATTTCAGGATTTTACAGACACCACCCAGATGAGGTTGCAAGTGACGATGTGTGATTCTATGTTTGAGCTCATCAATCTCTCCCGCCCATGGCGATACCGCCAAAGTTGGTCCGATTTAAGCGTTTAGGGACTCCATTGACTCCATGTTCACTTCCCCCAACCAAAAACACCGAAAGGAAACATTGGAGATGGGAGGAGGTTGGTAGGATCCAAGGAATTTCACAAAAGATCAGAAATTGCAAGGAAGTCCCAAAGGTTTCCAGGATTGTTGGTTTAGTCCGAAGCACCTAGAAACACCCAATGTAGATTCAGTTGCTGTGCGAAGCCTCCGCAGTCACAGGGATGAGAACCCCCATCGGGAACCTCCTAAAGTGAAGGTCCACTTTTATGCAGATGTAGACTTTGTACCAGGACCTGAGCTGGATCCGTGACCTCCAAATGGAGTCTCCTTTTCGTGACCATTGGAGCGAGAAAAAAAAAAGATCTCAAGTTCGGTCCCGGAAACTGAAGGTCCGGTCCTCAAGGTCCTGGTATTCCACTTGTAGGTCCAAATCACTATCACTTGCAGGTCGACCTGAGGAATTTTGCAAAAAGACTTCTCTTCACAGCTTGCAGGCGTGCATGGCTCATGATCTGATGGGCTGTTGTGATGGTGTTGGGTGGTTTCGTGATGTTGTCTTCTCCAGAAAGGTCAAAGCCAAGGCACAAAAAGCCTCCAAAAACTCTTCCATAGGGTTTACCACTGCCTAGACAGATTCTTGAGCTCAGGCTGAAAGGCTGCCTGCTTAGATGTCTGAACCAAAACCCTCGATCCATGTACAGCAGACGTCGAAAAAAGCGCTCAAGACGGCGACAGCTGCAGGTGATTGCGACGAACACGCAAAAAAGACCAGCCAACTGACTGGCCACTGCCCCTGTTAAGCAATCCATTTTGGAAGTGCTTGTTTCATCAGTGCCTTTACAATTACGCTCACTCTAAATTGCTAGACTATAGTATAGGTCCCCAATCAGATAGAAAGGATGTCCAATACATTTGGACAAAAGGATTCGCTTTTCTCTCTATTGTGGGTTCGCCAAGGATGACACATGCCATCCAAGTTTGCGCCAGGGTGCAGGTCTGTCATTTGAGCCATTCTTCCTCAAAAACACTCCACCGAAGACGTCTGGTATGAAGACGCTGAGACTGTAAGCGCCGGTCTGATTTGTTGTAAGTTGAGGACCAGCATCGACACTGTAAGTGTCGAGTTTCATGGCCCTGGCTATCGAAACCAAGAAGGCAAGACGGACATTCTGAATGGGCTTCACCGAAGCAACGTGAATATAAGCAGCTCGGGACAGAGGTTCCTTTTCCAATCGACTTCCCAGAGTTTCAACATGTCTTTTCTGTACGACTACAGTCGATATAGTTATCTTGAGTATTCTGGAGTTATTTTGAGATGATCATTGTGCTTTTCTGGGTTGCCAAAATTCAGACTATATATATATATACACAAATACACAGGCAGGCAGGTTTGGAATGGGAATGGATGTCCTGTCAGGATGTTTGGAGACTCGGCCCACGGCCCTCGCCTTCCTTGCCGGTCGTTGACCGTCACATCTTGCCTCGTGATGGGTCGATTTTTCATGTTTTCGTGCATACATTGTATGGGCATGTTGTGGAATGTGTCATTCATGCCGCCCTGATGATTTGAGAGGGAATTCCCATGCTCTCTTGGAAGAAAGGATGAGCTTGCTCAGCCTGTACCACTGGATTGCCAGCCTGTCAATGCAAGAAGTATCAAGCTACAGAACAGAGAATATGGGTCCAGCCTACCCAGTTCGTCCCACTTGCTGCTCCGGTCAAAACGCATGGCAATCTCCCATCGTCAATGAGTCAAGGATGTCTTCCGGCTCAGGAGGCCGTCTTCACCGAGGAGCAACGCATGAAGCTACGCCTCTCCCTGAAGGGCGGAGCTGGAGCGCCTCCCACGCGAGGTGCTGAGCCCACACCCTTAGCGCCGGTGCCCGGGTGCCCGGAGTGGATGGGGAAAGCTCCAGGGCAAGAATCAGCAGAACTGGTGCGCATCAAGCGGGAAACATGGATTCTGGGAGCGGAAAACATGGAATCTGTGGTCTCATATATGTCTCATGTGTTTCCCTCATATGTCTCCTCAAGAACTTCCTGTATTACCCAGTTGCTCGCAGGGTCTTGATGTTGAGACCTTTCAGCCTCGCTTGGTGCTTTCCCCCCCCAAAGAAACCTAACAGGGGAACATCCGCAGTCACATGTAATCTGGAGCCAAGGCCCTTCAACAAGAATGAGAGCAGGGGTTTGCGAGAGTGCACTTGTTTGACATTTCGGAGGTTCATATATAGATCTAAACACTCTGTCCACATTCCCTTCTTCTACTTCATTTTCAACTTTTACCCTTTCTGCTTCTTGCTGACATACTCTTATTCTTAAAAAAATGCTCTGAAACAAATATAAAGGAACACATCATACTAAACAAGGTGCAAAAGGGTCAATTGCACCCTATCCTAGTAGTTTTAAACTTACTGTAACTAATTTATATGATACCTAGAGCCTTTTGAATGAATCGCTTTCCCAGCTTTTACAGTGGATGGTAGCTCTTCCGTTCTTGCAGCAGGTAGTTGCGTTTCTTCTTTATCAGCTTTTTTTCCTGGTGATACACTTGACTTTTCTGATTCTTCCTCTCTCAACTAGTTTGCAACTTGCTTTTCGACTTGTTTTCTCGATTCTTTCCATGGTGATTACAAATGTTTTATCCTGCTCTCCTCAGCAGGGTCGTCCTAGTCTCAATACGCGTTTCTCTCGCTCCAGGCATTTTGTTTTTCTTGATTAGTTCTATACTCTCAAGCGCATTCTTGAAGAGTACTGGAATGAAGTAAATTGAAGCATCAACCGAGAGCCGAAGGAGTTTAGTCAGAAGAAAACGGAATGATTGGCCCCTAGCAGACCTAGTAGATCTTATCAGTCTGTAATCAGGCACTCCTGTTCTTGAATAGCTCCTCCATCAATTTAGTGAGTTTCTATAGGTTTGCCACTCGTTGTCAGTGGTTTCAGCATTTCCCCAGGCTTCATCATCAATTTGATGTTTGCAACCTGTTTTCGTTTCTTAAATGACGAGTTAGTAATCCATTGACATGGGTAGATGAAAAGTAAGAAGAAGCAACTGTAGAAGAGCATTGAAGAGGATGACATTTGCAATATACAATTTCATTCTTGTGATAAAATTATTCTTTTGGAATGGAAGAGTACGTAGCTGAAGAACAATTTGTGGTGATAAGTGATAAGCAATCTATAGTAGATATTTTGGTACGTGAAAGGACATGCAACATACAGGAAGAAGTCAGCTTCAAAGAGAAGAGCCTATTGAAGAAACACGCAATTAGCTTTTGAATTTGCAAGAAGAAAAGGAGAGCGGACTGATGATCAATCATGGTGGACACATGAATCCGATTGGGTTCGATTGGGTGCTCGCAAGGAGCAGAAAAGGCTGCGCTGTTTGGAGGCCTGCAAAAGAATACAGATTGCACCCTCCATTAAATCCAGGATGTGGATCATGATGTCCGATTACGGTTTAAAGAACGGTGCTACCTGTTTGTTCGACTCGAGACCTGAGAGTTTTATTCTCATTACTTGGGTCCTGATTCTTGTTGCAGGCAATCAACCACCCTTCGAAGGTGTGCCTCCTTTCAAGGGAGTAGTTTCTTTTGGAGCTTGCAGATTCCTGAGGCTTGGCCCTGTCTTGAGCCCTGAGCGAGCTGGACTTAGGACGTGGGGTGTGGGAGGCGTTGGAGGCGGAGGCGGTCATTGCGATTCGGAATCCCAAAAGCTCTCACATCTCCGATGAAAACACCAATCACAACAAACCAAAGCACCTTCAAACCATTTCGCAGGAACTGTAGCGGTAGCGACTGGACGGAAAGGTTTGCCCCTAAAGGCTTCGCTTTGGTCGTTGTGACACCTCGAAATGGTCAAGATGCGTTGATGGTGAAGATCGAAGCCGGCTCGAAAGTGTCGGGGGATTCTGAGGGGACTCCATATCTTGAAGCACGATACTATCAATGGATTGATTTAGGGAACAATCTATATACCGGAAACCACAGTTTTCACCCTCCAAACTAATATATAGGTTTCCTAACACATGTTTCAGCCCGAAGCTGCTGAAGGTCCGGGAAGAGACCCACATGGATCCTGATGGCAAGTGTGGCAAGGACCAGACTGGAAGACAGTTTTCCGAATACTAACCCCATGGTTTTCAGGTTCCACGTGGGTCTCTTCCAGAGTGTAAGTTTTTTTTGGTGGAGGACACATGATGGTTACGAGCAGATAGACGCACCATGACACACCAAAGAATTGGGAGGACTTGCACTGTGGCTTGCATGGACTTGCAAGACCATATAAGGCTTTACCGTGTGATTTCAAACTCTTCGGATTGCACCTGCCTGAGGGGAGGTGCAACCCACGAACGAGCAACAGTTTGGACGAACGAGCATGGCGTGAAGGCTAGAAAACCAGTTGGATAAAAATTGAGGTGTTTTCATCTTTATTAGGTTGGTGGCCATCGCTCTTAGTTTAGATCTTTAGGGATGCAAAACCCATCCCCGTTCATCCCCAAGCACCAAACTCGGGTCCTTTGCTGCACGACAAACTCATACGCCGCCGAACCTTTCGCAGCGTCGCCGGCCGATTCCATCCGCGGTGCTTCTCCGGGCCATGCGGATCGCCTCGGCGCGGCATCGGGCGGTGTGAGTCGGCCAGGCGGGGAGAGGGGAGAGGGGAAGGACGGCCGAAGGATCTGAAGCACGGCCGCGGCCGAAGTCAGAGCCAAAACCTCAAGCCCTGAACTGAATGGAGTTCGAAGCACACCGGGCATGCAACCGTGAACAGGACAGCACTCCATCGAGACATCGGGCGATCGTGGTTTCCTTCAAGGGCGATCTTTCGGATGCGATCTTGGAGCTTCAGAAGACTCACTGGTTCCCTTTTGGGTAATTTGTTCGATTGTCAATCTATGCTGGTTGTCTCCTGTGCTGGTGGATTTGGTGGTGGGTAGTCAAGGCAGGAAGGAAGGACATGTGGAAGGAAGGAGGAGCAATTCCAACTTGGAGCAGTTCCAACTTGTGGGCCACTCACACGAAGGAGCCATTGCAACTTACCCAGACACTCCATGTCTGCCATACAGGCATACATTGACCCCCAAAACCACCCCAATGTAGGTATATATGGCATACATGGAGTGTCTGGGTTACATCAACTTACTATACCTTTCATTTGTAGACCACGGGTACTGGAACCGTTTTCGATTCGGAAGAGATGTGAGAAAGATCTTCTTGTTGTAGCTCCTAAAAGTTACACGGATGGCTTGCTAGTTGCACATGGCTGGAACCAGATTAATGTTGATTCTAATTCTATTCTATTGAAATCTTGTTTCTAATAGCTTCTTGCTCCTAGTAGCGATGCCCTTTGCTCCTAGTAGCGTCCTTGCTCCTGGGTTCGACACCTGTGCCAGGCAGAGTCACCGAGATTTTGGCAGCGAACCGAGGTTCGCCGTTCCACCGATCCTCGGTGACGGGAGAGTGGCGCTTGATGCACTGGCAGAAGAGGTGGTACACAGGCTACGCCTGGTAGAAAATTGCCCTGCCCTCATTTGTAAGATGCAGAATCAGAACTGATGTTCGAGAACCATTGTGTTCTTTGACCCACACCTTGAGGAGGACTTTTTTGATGAGCAGCCGCTGTTCATTGAAGAGTATGAATCAAATGAACGTACCTAATCACTGCTTTTGTTTCTCATGGCTGGATCCTTTATTATTATACTTCTATTGTTGTTGTTTTTAATTCTTTAAGGTCGCCTTAAAACGCAGGCAAATTGAGCATGTGACCTGAGCCGCTATGTTAACAACCAGCTTCACAGACCTGGTCGAGTTAACATCCTGGTTGAGTTCAGATTTCGGCGCAGCCCAGTTCATCTTTACAGGTTACGCTTAGTGCTTGCTGCACCAAGCTTTAGATTCGCTGGGTTCCTTCATCCCAGCTTCCACTTGAGCAGCGTTCTAAATTACCCTTTTCTTTTTTAATAAGGGACTGTGAGGTTACCGGGAGTGGAACTTGTATTACTTTCATGACAGCTGGGCCCCAAAGATATTGAACAACCTACCATTTGCATACCTCCGCCGTAAGCGCGTACATGTGTCGCCGTAAGCAAAACATAGAAAAACAATGAAACACGTAGGCCTTGCGTAAGGCCTACCGTAAGGGTGGAATTCTCGGAACGAAAAGACAACACAATTTTGATCACCCCTCACTTGGAGTCAACCCAGGTGATGTGGCCAACCATGTCCTGAGGGAATGATTACCTATGAAGAATAAGTGCATAAAGTGTAATTATTAACCATGCATGTACCTCCTTTTCTGCAAATCGGCTAGTGACCCAGAGGGAGGACATTGTGATATGGCTACCTGTTCGACAGCAATGAGCCATGTCATGTTGTCAGTTTGGAGGAAGCTACAACTGATTTTCCTTTGTAGCACGTTCTTTCCGTTGAACTATGGTTTTGTGAACTTTTGTTCCGGGAAAGTGAGCGTTATTTTTTGTGACATGAGCATGTTGTTGATTGTGGCATTCTAGGAACTCTATTGGATTGGGGCCCTCCTGGGGCTCAAATTCAAGAAGTGGCGGAATCCACTTCCTGCGGGATCAGCACAAGTTTTTTGAGTTTGCAAGCCTTTCAGATGCCGAGTGCTCATTTTCTTGAGTATGTGTTCTTTTCTGTATGGAAGGAGCCTTCAGGTTGCAGCGCTCCAGCACTAGCAACAAGAATTCATGTGTACGTGTTGTGTTTTTTTTTGTTGAGGCTTTATCCACATTGATCCCCTTATAGACCAAAACCCGGAGGTTGCGGGTTGTAAATCGATTCGGTGCACCGATTTAAACGTATGGCCTTTGAGGTCCTTTTTGTGCAGGTCGGTGACCATGGATCTCCTCGCGCAATACAGCGACAGCGAGGGAGAGGAGTCGTGAGGGTAGCGGTGTCGTCCGCTTTTTGCGGCGTTGTTTTGGGCTGACAGGTTTGGGATACCCACCCAAACAGGACATGATGTCAAGAGCATCCTGGCCACGGGTGTCCTGCTTGGAGGTCCCGGCCAGCAGGCGGTGCATGGAGGTCCCGACACCCAGTGTGTTTATGCCTTAAACAATCTGCAGGGTCCGTCAAGTGTCTCAATTGTTTTCAGCTAAGAAGGCAGCAGCTCTCCTTCTGGCGGGATTGCAACTACTTTGCAGCGGGTGAAAGTGAAGACTCAGGATATGTAGGATATGTGATCAACTTATATAGGTGTGCCATGGCCACAAACCCAGCACTGAGTGTGTGTATATACTGTATATATAGATATATCATCATAACATATCATAACATCATACATTATACATCTTTGTGCGGAGGTGAATCTGAGGTCAACATGTACAACTGGCCACCTCGATTCCGAGCTGAGATGGGCGGAATGGGCGGAACCACGGGGGCCGCACATGTCATGGAACCACGAACGGAGCGGATTCTGCTCTGAGTTGGACCTCATCAGTTTTTGGCTTCTGTGATCCCTTTGAAGCCTGGCCTAGTCGATGCCTTCAGATCTCAAGCCACTTCTCAGTGGAGAAGCACTCCCTCCAGGAGAAGCCTAAGACAGCCAAGACCAGTCTGCAACGTGGTTTGAAGGGAGGCACCCTGCCTGGGCCGCTGGCTTTAAACTTCCGATCGCCGGCTGCCCGGGCGCAGCCGGGAATTGGAGACATGTTGATGAAGACCCCCTACCACAATGGTTTCACCTCTTCATCATGGAGGGCTTTATTAGGTTTTATTCATCAACAGTCAACATTGGATGCTCCCAGAACAGCCAAGTGATGGTTTGTATAATTGTTTGGAAGCAATTCAAGCAGACAGAGTCCAGGGTGCGGGTATCCAAAGTTGTCCCAAATACTCCAAAATGGGGTTTGTGTCACTTCAAGGTCAGACTGGGATCCTTGAGGTAGGTCCAACACCCGGAAGATGACTTTTGTCCCCCTGCCAGTGCCACTCTCTCCTCAGACAGCTAAAGTTGTCATTGTTTCGAGCAGAAGAGCTTTGGCAGTAGAGGGTGCTTGAAACAACAATAACAAGATTGACTGGGGCACCCAGTCTATTCCGGATGTATGCACCAACCAGGTGCATGTGTATCCGTTTGTCTTGTATTTTGAACCCAATAATACCCAATGTATCTATATATAGATTATATATACTCAATATTACTCAATATATATATATATATGTATACGTATATAACTACATATATATATATAAATACGTATACATATATGTATTATATATATACTTATATATATATATATGTATTAGGTTTTACGGTGCCACAAAGCCAACCGCGGAGTCACTTGAGTTTGATTCTTTGACACCCCAATCCCCAAGGCCCACGGGCGCTGCTCCCAAAGCGGCTGCACGGCAGCCCATCCCCGGTGCAGGGGCGCCGAGTGCGAGTGAAACGCCCAACTGGGAAGAAACGGGTCCGGTGATTAAACAGTTAATAACAGTTAATATATGCAATATCATAATATTTGTGATCATTCTCTAAAAAATCACAGGTTCAACCATATGTCCATCAAAACCGATCATGTTTTGTTTCAACATGGGTCCATGGCTCGCTGGGAGAGCTCGGGAGCTCGTTCGTCCGTCCAGTCCGTCAGGGAGCTGTTCGGAGCGACCGGAGTTCCACGGAGCGCTGGTGGTATGAGGAGATGCATCAACATGGGAAGACGGACGGTGCTGTTTTTCTGTGTTGGACTCCTCAAACAGGACTCCCATTTGGACTCCTGGTTGGTGAGCAGAGCCGAGCGCGGATCTTTGCAAACATGTGTTGTTTCCATCATTTTCCATATATTTAGAGAACAGGAGACAGGAGGTGAGAAGATCTAAGATGTGGCTCCCAGCACCAGAGATGGCCTTGAAATGGTCTCGCAGCGTCTCGCACTGGTATTATATAGTCTTTGGCAGTCTTTGGGCTTACAAGGTTATTAAGGTGAACTGCTTCACAGACACGTTCGGCACACTTCAGAATTGCCTCACAGGCCTTCTTTTTGGTCCATGAAGCTTTGGAATTCCGAGAGACCGGGTAATTTATTGTAGCTTCAGGATGGTTTGGATATGTACTGTAGATCATATCGGACTCTTTGAAACTTGAGTTGTACCATGCGGTCACCGCAGTTGATTTTTTTGAAACTCGGCAATTCGATCGCTGTTCATTTGACAGCACCAAGTACCGAGCACATACATACCCACAGACAGACCAGACCAGACCAGACAGACAGACAATGACGGACAGACAATGACAGACAGACAATGACAGACAGACAGGCAGGCAGGCAGGCAGGCAGACAGACAGACATATACACACACTAATTACAAACCTCCCGAGTGTAGTAAACTCATTCTTGAACACCGTTTTCGACAGACACCGCAAAACCGTGCTTGGCGCACGGAAAAGACCGTGTCAGACTGGTCTCGTTGCTTGGCGCCCCGTCCAGGTGGATTTGGCCTTGTTGCCCAGTGTGGATGCAGCGCCACAGGTGAACACCACCGGCATGAGCGTGGTCCGGATCTCGGGAGCCGACGAGCCGGGCGGGGGTGGGTTTTGGGGGTTCCGATCTGCGGAAGAAACTGGTGGTTAAACGGTTCAATGAACAAACTGCTGGTTACTTGAATTGAATCATCTCATTGTTCATTTCTCATGTCTCGTTCATGCATGAATGAATCATCAAAAGGACACCGCTGAGGGTGGAGGAATGAACATGGCCTCTCAGACTCCTTGTTGAGGACCGAAGCAAACAAAAGAGCGATGATCGTTGCCCAAGCCGAGATGCAGCGATCTCTCGGACCCCATCGACTGGTGGATTCAGAGACTGGTGGATTCAGCGACTGGAACCTGGCGACGATCTCGAGTGGTTCCAAGATACATTTGCCTGCCGTACGTTCCTGGCAAACCCACTGGGTCTGGGTCCATGCTACTCACAAAGACCCAAGCTTTTTCAATCCCATCCAGAGACTACTGACATGACTAGTCACACCTTTCAGCGCAGCTGAAGTCCGTATCCGCAAGGACCGCACAGTAGGCCACGTGACAACGTGCCAAGAAGAAACAAGACCAACAAGTGACGTCCTCAAAAGTCCTGAAGTCCTTTGCGGATTTGATGGAAGAAGCAGGCCGAAGCGGCCAACGCCTTGGAACTTGGTCCAAAGTTGCAACCTGCAACCATCAAGTACTGTACGGAGATTGTTGTCACCTTTCGTTCCTCCACAAGGATCTTAGCCTTTTTTAAATTAAAGTTGTTGGCTTTGGTCAGGAACATGGAGCGGCTTCTTGCTGCCCTGCCGTGCGTTGCCCTCAAATTTTTGTCAGGTCGCCAAATGGGCCTACAACACCGCTGACAAGCGGATCCTCACGAACCCCACCATTGAGGCGGGTGACACTATCTAGAATGCTTTACGTGTTGGCGTCAACCATGTAATGGCTGATCCTTTTTACCTCCCGGCGGGTCAAGGAACCGTCACCTGAATCGATATGGTCAGGAATCCTTTGGTCTGGTCCATTTGGGAATCATTTGAACATAGAACACACAAAGCATCAGAAAACACAGAAAAGCTCTATAGTCAACTATAGTCAACGAGGTGTGTCAGACAGGTTTGTACACGATCTCCTTTGACCGAAGGGAAATCCATGATATCCGGTCCCAAGGAGGATCGTTTGTTGCGGTCGGTCCAGATCCCCATTCAGGTCATGAGTACGCAGGCCAGAGATGGCCAGATATGGCCTGATATCTGGCTTCCGGAACTTCTCTTTGGGTCAAGCAGTTGATCAAATGGGTCACTTCTTGAAGTGCGCGTGCAGAAGCACTTCACATTGCCTGAACTCTCGACTTCGAGACTTTGAGGGCATTCGAGCATTCGACACACCTAGATATTCTTAGACACTTAATTGAATCCCCTGCTCGGGGGGGGCATGCCAACGTCCCAAGCTTGGTATGAAAAGAGGAGACGGATTGTTTCGCTTGTTTTCCCTGATTGTAAAGCTCTTCAGTCCATTTCAGTCCCTTTTGTCTTCGACTATCGCTAGTCTATTGTTGGTCACCGGTCGCCGCAGGCGAGAAAAAACGCGTGACCGGTCCTGACCGTGCGACGCGAAGGCCTTGAGCAAGCCATTGCAAGGGCCCATCCCCGAGGGGAAGCGCGGGGTCCAAATGGGCGATCTGCGGGAGGTGAACATGGGTGAAAAGTCGGTCGAACAGGCGCCTGATGTATCCTGATGTCTTGTTTTGGGGCGAAAACCGATAGGTGGCTTATCATGTGTTATATATATAGTTGTATCATTCACCTATGATATCCACACTTGTTTATGATGATTCAGGTGCCAGATTTGGCTGCAGAGGATTGGCCTGAGCAAATGGTGACATGGATTTTCACTTGTTGGATGACTTTGCCAAAAGAAGGACTTGAGTAGTTCTTAGGTGTCAATTGCTCATCCAGTGGCCCGCTTCAGACCATTGGGGATCCGTGAGACGTGTGAGACTGGCAACAGGATGCTTTTTGACAAATATGGCCCCTTTGCAGGGTGAAAACCGCATGGGCAGGGTCAAGCCCGTGACGAATGCGAAGACTGAGACTCGGTCGGAATGTGACTGAGACGTGAGGGTGTTGTTCCCCAAAAGGGATTGTTTGAGTCATCATGTTAGGGATGAGAAGATTGGCCCCTATTTGCTCCTTCAATTTGCTTCGCCACATTGGAACTCTTATTTTCTGACCAATCCGATGTTGTATGTTCAGGGATAGGCAAAGGGACGACCTAAAAAAACAGACTGCACACCATGCACGCCGCTGAAAACGGCACCGGGGGGGCGCACACCCCAGGCTCCCCGTTCTCCGCCCTAACCTCCGGGCCGACGCTGAAATATCTCACATCTTCTCACTCAGTAGCGGCCTTGCGCCGTTCGTAGCGATGCCAGTGGCCCCTAGTACTGTAGCGTCCTTGCTCCTGGTCCTAGTAGCGTCCCGGTGGCAGGGTCTCTTTGGAAGAAACCTTCAACAATCACAAGATGGGCCGAGTGGAGAAAGCTGCCATGAGCCACTTGGCCACCAGAAAGAAACGTGGGCCAGGTTGCCTTTCGCACGTCCGAACAACTTGACCCATTTTTGTGCCAGAAAATGTTTGATTATATTGGAATCTGTTCCAGTCACCGCTGGTTTGTGATTGGGCACTCAGGGGTGTCTTCTCAAACATTCCTCAAACGGACAAGCGGAGTCTGAATAGCTGAAATTCCTCTGAAAGAAGGATTAAATATGATGCAATATGATTTTGATCAAACCCACAGCCATGACCCACAGTGAGTGTGTGTAATTTTGAGTCAAGGGGTTTGGTTGATTTGGAAGAGTCGGGGGTCGAACTGGGGGTTTCGCGTCGAACTGAGGCAAGTTTGCCTTCGACGAGCAGTTCGCGCCGGATCATTATTTCGAGTGGATGGGGCAGGTACTATATAACCCTGTAACAAGTGTGTAAGACTAGAACACCATGTATCACTATATTTGGAAGTAGTCTTGTGTGCTTGGACATCTTCATTGGGGACGATACAAAGATTGAAAGCAGCAGCGGTCAGAATTGAGAAGCTGATCCTGCCGAAGAAAAGGGATAGGAAAGGAATCCAGTATAATTCAGTCAAATAATGTCAAAGAGACGTTGCTGCTGCAATTTGTGTGTGTTGCTTTGAACAACGTACTATACTGTACTTGTTTACAAAGTTATATATATATATATTCATACAGGAGTAGCACAAGTTGTAGATTGCATCCCCACTTTTGCCTGCTAGAAGACCCATGTGGCATCGAAAGTAGATATCCAAGCAGTGGCTTCACCGTCCATCTTGTTGACCTTGGACGACCAAAACCCAACGGGGGAGTCTTTTGGACGACCTGGCTGCGACCTCTGTGTGATTTGCTCGGACCTGGCGGCTCTTCGCGTTCTCAGCCAACTTGTGACCCTCGAGTTCACGTTCACTTGTAGACACCATGTGCACGGGTTCAAGCAAGGATTCTACTTGCGGCTGTCGCAGGTATAGCCAATGGTTTCAACAAGGAACCAGTAGGAACATAGGTTCTAGAAGACAGGGTTTACATCCCGTCCATAGCAGATTCCTACCTGCTTGCGAGGTCTGCTTGCATAGCATAGCGCACCTGTTGTGTCGCCCGTCTATCGCTTCGGCACTTGACCCGGCCATACCTCGCGTCAGGTACCTGACCTTCCACAACTTCGGCTATGCAGCCAATCCCTGCAAGAACATTCCCGAAGGCGAAGAGGTCCTAGCACCTCCAGCACGTCTTCGGCGGTGAAGGGGGTTGGACGAGGTCCGTCCGTTCGTGTGCGACACGAGGAAGGACGAGAGTGAGATAGAGTGAGGATATAGATGGTAAGTATACTAGACAGATGTAGATCGACATACATATGTAGACATACGTAGACCACCTACCGTTGGTTGCGTCTATTCTGAAGCGATGTACCACAAGTTGGGAGTACGTTCCAACAGTATCCTTGAAGCCTGAAGATGGGGACATTTCAGTGCACCTGCTTTCCAATTGGGCTTACGTGACCGTTCAGGTATTTGGGTCGCTTCTCAAGGTTTCCCATGCGGACTGGTGGGGGAGGTGCCATGACGAAACAGATGATCACAAGATGACAACAAAGATGTAGAAGCTGTTTTGTATGTCTTCACACTTCCGCTTTCATGATCCCACGTGCCTTTCTGTTTTTTTTTCCAGCGAGTGTTCTCACATTTACCCCGTCCCCAGCCCAAAAGCACCTAAAAACAACCAGTCTTGATCCCAGCACCTTGCAGGGTCCAAGTCCACCGCATTGTCACCTGACCAAGCCGCCCGCGCTGACCTGTCCTGACCGAAGCTGTTTGTCTAACGATCCGGATGCGGTACTGAACCCATCTTCCACCAGGGGAATCATGCCCTGGATGCATCTTGTCACCTATGCCGCTTTCAGCGCCCTCCTTTGCGCTGCCGAAGAGTCCGCAGCCGTAAGCACTGTGTCAGAAGAAGAGGCCTGCGATGTGTGACTTGATAAGCAGAAGAAGCCTCCACACGACTTACTAACGTTGAAGTGCTTTGGAACAAAGATGATGGTGGTGATGAAGTGATTTGAGCCCGCCAATCGAGAAGGTTTTTGTTGGTCTTGATGGTCTCGGGGCTTCACTGACAGAGGTGCCCCAACAGGGTCGATTGGGTCGGTTGGATTCTGCGGAGGGATCACCACCTGCGTTTTAGGGATCACCAATCGATATCGCATCCACGTCGTGCGAAACCTGCCGTGTGGGTCGGTTGGTTCTCCGGAAAAATTAAGTCAGGCACTGTATGACTGGGTGCTACATATGACTGGTTCCTGATGGAAGATCACTATCCCAGTAGTCCATTCCCAGGCGAGGTACACTATGGCTAGCGGATGTTGACCTCTATGGCTTGACTGAGGTGCTAATCTCTATGGCTTGAGGTGTTACTTACTTGTAGTGAACAATTCATGCTTTCCAGAGTTTCGAGGCCCAAGACAGTGGTGTTCGCTGTGTGTTGGGTGGTTCGGAGGCGTGGGTGGTTGTCGCAACAGCTACGACCGCTTTTGGTCGGCTGCGAGGTTGAAAGGTTGAAACCCATTTATTGTATAGATCATTATATATATATATACTGTGATTCTTTCATTGGAGAGAGCTTGTTTTCAAGATTTAAACACCAAGTCAACAAAAAAGTCAAATCAGAAAGGTTGAGAAAGTCCAAAAAATGTCAATTGGCCCGGCCCAGATCCGATTATTGTTTACTTTGTTTTTTTCCATTTTTGTATTGTTTTGATTGTTTTGCGATGTCTTTTTGTTTCCGTCTTTTTGGACTTGTTCGAGTTGTTTCCTATGACTTTTATTTGACTTTTTCGAGTTGTGATCTGTTTTTGACTTTTGTTTGACTTTTGTTTGGCTTGTCCATTTGACTTTTTGAATTTTCAATTTGACATTTGGTTAGACTTTCTTTCGACTATTTTCAAGGATCCTGGCCTTACCATATGAAAGAATTCTATATAGTCTAAGTCTACACATGCATATCGAGCATATATGGCGTTTTATCATGTGTATGGAATTCCGTGTCGTTGGCTCACCTGAGGCAACTCCTTCAAGTGAGCCAATCGCTGGAGGAGTCTCGTTTGTCCAGCCTGACTTGGAAGGGCTTCTTTGAAGCTCAGCAAGTACTGGGTGCCATTGGGTGGGAGAAACACGCACGGACACACCCGACAGAGAGGAAACACATCCTGAAAACCACCTGACACAGAGGATATACCACGGACTGTATATAGAGACTTATGTATTCTAGGTGGTGCAGGATTTCTTCTATCAAGTTGGGTTGGGGGTGGATCAAGATGGTCCCCCAAGTTCAGAACTGGGGATGGTTTTTCAGTCCGACTTACATCATCACAAGAGAATGTTTCAATGTCGGGCGACCAGGGAAAACCGTTGTGGAGGCGTTGAGCTTCATGAATTTCTGCTGGGAGCTTACGCTCTTTTCAGGAGGCGGCTTGTTATGGAAGATTCCCAAGCTGGGGAGTGTCAGTCAAGGTGATATCTCTTATGGCCAAATTAGCAGTTACCATACACACATGAGCCAGCTATGAGGGATTGCTATGCTGTTCATTTTTCATTTCGCACCAACCTCTCCCGATTTGTTGTTCGGTTCCGAGCGGCCGAACACTGAGCCCGGTGTGTTGGTCGAGACCGGTCGCTGAGGTGAATTTCCTGAACGTCCGCCGACCTGAGAGCGGAGCGATTGAGCGGATTCGCACGTGGATGAAGCGCCGACAGGGTGAGAATGAATCCGATGAACATCTCTACTCCACGAACCCCTCCAAAACTGCAGATCCACGGATTGTCGAGATAGCTGAAGTGTAAGTACATCTGTGTTTTCAGTTACAAACTGAGTGCACCAATCACCACCACTCTGAGGCCATGGGCGAGGCGGAGTCCGATGCCATCCTGGCACCCGCAGCCACCGCGGCGTTCGCGGTCCGCGAGCTGCGGGCCGCTGAGGCGGCGCGGGGCGGGCTGCCGCCGCTGCCGGCAGAATCGCTGGCGCAGACCAAGGTCTCTAGCCAGGCGGGGTGGATTTGGATTGGGGAGGGCGGTGTTTTCCTTGCTAGTTGTCTTAAAAGGATGTCGGAAAAGCGTGGTCGGTTGGGTCTCGAGTCCCAAGCTTTCTTTGGGTTTTGATCATTTTGGTGTTGGTGAGGAGAGGTTGATCTGTATGGCATGGGGCGAGTGAGGACTCTTGACCTTGCTCATGACCAGGCAGACTTGAGCTACTCCAGAATATTGTTATAAAGGTAATAGGAACGGACCATTTGGCATACTGATGAAAATGATCCCATATAATTATTGTATATACTGAACTGTACTGCATTATCCAATATTATACACATATTATACACATATTCTTAATACATACTTATTCCTGCAGGAACACTACTAGAAATTCTGCTGCTGCTTCGTAGTGGACGGATTTTCCTTCTGGCTCCCACGGTGATGACATCGCACCCACTTTTTCGACCAACGGTTTTCTCGGGTCAAACGGTCGGTTGTTGTTTTTCTCGGGTGGTCGTGGAGCCACTTGATGGTTCTCGGGGTGGCTCTGTTGCTCCAAGCTGTGGATCCGAACGGATCAGAAGCACCACTGCCCGACCACCGACTGTCCGCTCTGACTCGACTCTCCCCGCACCGTGAGACGAGCGAAGTCACCGCGACGACCATTTGTGTGATCATCGGTGCGGTACCTCCGGAGCAAAGGCGTCGAGGTGGTATACGGGAAATGGATGAGTTCAGTGTGTGTGTGTGTTTTTGTTTAACTCGGGTTTTTTGTTTTGATTTGATGGGTGGTGAACACTACGTAGACACAGGTAGACTCCAGTAGACCATTCTCAGTTTTGGTGCGTTCCGGGGGGGGTTGAGCCATCTCGAATTGATCGTTTGGCTTGAGTATTTTTTGGTCCACATTTTAATGCTCCCTTTGGGTCCAGGCTGAGGAGTCTTCGGGTAGAGGGTAGGTAACTATAGGGTCTGGCATCCGTCCTTCTTCTCACACGCAGGTGTTGGTGCTGCCATTCTTTTTTTTTGAACACTCTGATATTGAGGCCTTGCCACCTAAGTGGGCAACGATAGCAGTTGCTCTTTGACATGGTCAGATTCGGACTTATGGTTTCATACTCTATAGAGTAGTTACAGTATGCACACAGTATTGCTGTATAGCTGCGGGGTAAAACTCTGTAGCCTCTGTGCATACCTGCACCTTAGTTTATAGAATCGCGTATATAGCACCTGTGTTTTTGCGGACCTAGGGTTTAAGCACTATTTGGACTTTCGTAGGGTTTTTCGTTTTTTGTGGTTTTGAAGGGTTGCGAGTGTATATTTTCAATGCTGAAGACTGATGTTTTCTTGAGCCAAAGGTGGACACCCGCAAAAGGGTGCAATTGGAAAGAAACGTGGCAAACCACCCAACAGTGAGTTGGATATGGGAGGGCTCCATGCACCTTTTTTGAAGGGATTGTAGTAGAGCGTTTTGCTTGAATGAGCACTTGAAATTTTGTTTTGTTTTGGTAGCAAAGGACGAAGGAAGCTTCAGGTAGTTCTGATACACATCCAAGAAGCTTGTATGGGAGGCTGAGTGGGAGGCTCATAATGTGCGAGTTGATGCGAGTTGCGTGAGATGATTGTTTGCAATATTTATTCCTTTCTTTTTGGTTTGCGCCGTTGATTGCTGCATGTCAGGCTGTTTGCTGGTGATGTAGGAGTGCGACTTGCGGAATTGGTGGGATTTGATCTTTGGAGCTGGCCACCAAAAAAAGGACCTTCGAGTGCTTAAGGCAGCTTTCAGATGTTCCTTTATTGATAAATATTGAGTAGTTTCAGCATGATCTGGTGCTGTTTCCTTCCATACTCTTTCAAAACGGCAAACACAAAAGTCATCAAATGTTAAAGGCTCCAGAACATGACCAGACGTCCAAACATCTCAACCAGACGTCGTAATGCATCGGTTCGTAGATCCCCACGTGTTCTACATGTAGACAGGACACCGTCTCTATCTATTTGGGGATCACGGGATCGTTACCCGAGGTCCTGCTGGCTGTGGTGGTTTGCTTGATCTTCAGCTGTTTCAAGCCTAGCACCAGCTATGAGGACTACAACAAGCTGGATAGTCAAGGCGGAGCTGGTTTTGGTAGATGGAGAAACATCCCAAAAGAAACAGACATCGTGGGGTGCCGGCGCCATTCTTCTCTGAAAACACTGTACCATTTTTTTGTTAGCTCAGAATATCCCCAAAGAGCATCCAGAGCTATCCAGGCATTTCCCCAACCTCAAGCGCAGAATTTCCTCAGTTGATTCACCTCAACACCTCTCCACGGAGTTTCCATGAAGTGAAGTCGGCAAGCCACCGGCATGCTGGACAGCTTGTAACACCTGGGCCTTCGTTTGGTCTTCAGAATGGATTTTCCACCCAGCTACTGGGCTGAAGAGTTCGCCAATCGGAACTTGCCTGTCTTAAGAACTGGGAAAGAAGGAGAGGGTTGTATACCAGAATGGTTTTGGTTCTCTTCATTCCAGAATGGTTTCATTCATCAGTCTACATTCATCATCAGTGAGAACAACAGCTCCAAGTGGATGCACGACACGGCTTCTGTAGCTCCCTTCAGCGGCCTCCTGGCACAGGTGCGGCCTCCTCCTCGCTCGATCGGGCGATGAGGAAGGATTGCTGCTGAGTGAAACCGGAGTAAGGAAGGTTTGGCTTCCGATCAGTGAATGAGCAGTGTGTTGCTTTAGCCGTCCTTTTCTGGTCATGGCACACTCTCCTTTTGTACTTCCAAGATTCCCTTAGCTCGCAGACGATGTCCAGTGATTCTGAGAAACCGCGGACGCTAGATATTCATGATGAGTCTTATAACACTCTTGGAGTTCTTGCTACTAGGAACAAGAAGCTACTAGGAACAAAGAGCATCGCTGCTCCTGGCCATACTACTAGTAGCGTTCTTGCTACTAGGAACAAGAAGCAGTTTGAACGACGCCTGGAGATTGCTCTCTTCAGGTGAACTCTTGGTGTTCATATCCAGCTGGACCCTCAAGTCCTGTGTTCCAAAACAAACAGGTCGACCACGGTCAGTTCGTTGACCCACACAAACCATGCACTTGTGAAGCGGGGGAGTCCTTATCCCTGTTTTTTGCCTAGGATTCTGTGCTTGCCCTTGCCACCTTGCGTGGAACTGATTCCAGCACCCGTCCAATCCAAGAGCCGAAGAAACGACCGAACCCACAACCGGGACAGGGTCCAAATTCACCCCCATAGATCAGGTGAAAGCATTAACGGGACTGCAACACTGAGAGTGTTTATCACCTGCACCCACCCTGGAGCATGAAGCCACTGCTGAAGCAGCCTGCATGTGGAAGCCAAGCCTGTATTGATGCCGGACAAATCATTGATTTGTGCACCTTGCAGCTCGCATATTCTGGTCAGCTCGGATGTCAAAGGATCAACTGATCATTTGGCCGCATGAACAGATGATGCCCTTTCATTCACATCAGCGTTTAGGGCTCTTTAGGTACAATTGTGATCAACTGTGATCTCACTGCTCCATACTTTGTATGAAGCTGCCAAATGTGAGACACCGCACTGACAGCTCAACTGTTCTCATTCGTAAGACTTGAGATCAGTAGATTAAGGCCCAGAAAGTGACGAACGTGGCATTTGTGACCGCTCATTGAGACGTCGAGTATGGTTTAATTACTGTAGGTTTAATTGGGTCATTTGATTGTGGTCAAAGGTTCTAATGTATCATAATTGTTCAACCTTCTATCTACTTGAGGATGTACAAAAAGGCCCATTTTTTTTTCTCATTTTGAACCATTTCTTCCCAAGTCTTTCGTTTTCTTGTGCTGTTTGATGATGTGCTTGTTTCGCCAGGTGAGCACCGAAGCGTTGCACCAGCCCGGCCGCGGCCTGTGGGACAAGCCCCGGAAGAGGCGGGGGGGAAGAGGAGGCGAAGAGGAATGGAAGTCAGGGAGGGTCAGGAACATATTTGTTGCATTTTCTCGCGGGAATTGGAGGTGAATGGCACAGTCTCCTATTACTGTTTGGTGTGAAAATGCAGTTTTGGTATGTTTTGGTCATTAGATCAGAGTTTATTTGTTGTGTTTTGAAATATAGAGTGTGTAAGAAAAGCATGTCCCACATCCAGTTTGCGCTTGCGTAGGTTGTCAAACACGCGATGCCTAGGGGCATGTGCTTGAATAGATTTGACTACTGCAGCCTTCGCGGCTGCAAAGCCCTGACGAGTTTTAAGGGGGACGAAAACTAGATAAAGTATATATATATAGATAGTACGTTCCATTCTTAGAAGCAGCTGCGACCTGTTCTGGCCCAAGCTGCGACTTGTCCTAGTTGCCCTGTTGAGCTTTTCAAAGTGGAAATGAACAACTCTCCCTCTCCAGCTTGCTGAGCTGGCAAGAATGGCATCCAGATTTCTCCCAGTTTGGGCCATCCAACAGTGACCCAAAGGGCCTTCATCACCTTCCTTTCTTCTATCTCCGATTTGGTCAAGTGCCAGGTGTTCAACAACAGAATCGTTTATTTCCTGAGGTGCAGTGCAGAGAGATTTGGTAGGAAAGCTCTCATGATGGAGTTTCAATGATGGTCCCTAGCTGCAGTCGCTTGCCACAGGCAGAGGTTGGAAGGCCCAGACATGCCGGCAGGGCACCAAGTCGGTGGTTGTTTGGATGGAGGTGTCAAGCTGACAAATCAAGACTTTCCAAGGTGACTAACGCTCAGTAGCTCAGTGCCAAAGTGTGGACTCCAGGCATGTACGCACCCAGGTCCCATCAAACTCGGAGTTTGAGAACGAGCATGTAGTCGGACTCCTGAATATTTTTTTGATCCAAGCGAACTTTTTTCCCTACTTGGAGGATTTGATTGCACTGGTGAGGAATCTCATCACATTCGGAGAACTCCATTGACAAATTCCTGAAGAGTCCTGAAGGGTGGTTCCAGGTGTGTGAGAGGAAAACAACGACAGCTTATTTTTGGTCTGTGGAGCTTTCTTTGTTTTCCTCTCACAACTTTACGGAGCTGCCAGAGATACGCTCTTCGTGTAGACCTGCTCGACCTCGAACCAAGTGCAGCTGTAGTGATATGCTCGGCAGACTCCATTCGGCCATGGCTGGGCTCAAACATGGTGAAAGGAACCATCCAACGACGAGAGTTTCCTGAAACTGGTGGGTTGAAGGGAGTTTCTTTTCAAGCAATAGACATATACTGTATAATATATATATATTATATTTAACTATTAATAGATCTGTTATTTATGATGATGTGTATATATACATATGATGTGTATTATATAATATATACATAGACACATGCATCCACGACTAGAGATCGCCCTTTGTTTCCATCACCGAGGATGAACCGGGCAAGGTGTGTGCGTTGCGCGCGCGTGTGCGTGACGCGCGTGCGAGGGCGACTCAGTGGTTCAAACCTGGAGATGACATGACTGGCACCAGGGAATAAGAGGGGTCCCCTGAACGGTCGTTTCTATGCAGGGCAGATGGCAGAACCACGCTTGTTCTCGGAATCCGATACCGTCGAAGAATCAGCCGTTCTTCCAGTCAACAGGGAACCGATTTTTGGGGCGGGATACCCGGATGTCCCAAAGCACAGACAAGTCCAACTCCTTCCCCAGACCTCCAGATGACCGAAGCACAGGGCCACGCTGAGTCTGCAAAGCCTGGGAGCCTGTGTACCGGACCATGGCACGCGGTGGCGGACAGTTCCAGCCCAGAAATGAAGAATGAATATGCGTATATATGCACTCATGAACCATAAGATGAATATGTGTGTATATATTTATATAAGATTTTTGAGTCTGTTCTACATCTCATGAACCCGTTGTGGATTGTGTCCAATAGGATACTCGGAGGTTCTCCGACTTTGACCTGTCAGAGTTGATCCCTGGGGTGGTTCCCCAACTCTCTGATTATGGAGGTACCACCCAAAGAAGAGGTCTCTACAATGAAGAGAGACAGATCGGTTTTGATTTATGAGGTGGTAAGCTTGGATCGTTGGAGATGGGAGAATGACTAGATCGTACTAGATAATGGTGACCATATCAATGGCAAATATGCTGACATGAAAGTCAAACAGAACAGTTAGTGGTCAAAGCTTGAGACAGGCCACTTGGGAGTCAGAAGGCATTAGAAGGTCTTCTCCAGGCGTCTTGCAATCAGGTACCATTTTAACTCAGCCATTTTTGTGGCGTCATTTGTCCACCTCTCCTCTGCCTGGTTCACGCAATCGGTATATAGACCAATGGTAGACCACGAACGAAAACATATTATAGGTATGAAAATAGGGAGACCTGGGAACCCCATTAGATTTGGTGGTCGATTTCTTCCCAGGTCTTGAGCTGGGTTGTCCCTCTTCCAATACACCCAGATGTAATGTAGACTGTTGATTAAAAAAAACTCCCCGCATATGAAGAGGTTGAAGAATCCAAATGGGGGAGGGGTAGCAACGAAGATTCTACAGTGGCCCCCAATGCTTGTAGCATCATGTGACGCATCCATCGGGCCATCCAGTACCACCCGGCTTAGGTGGGGTGGCTTCATTGATGGGGAAGTGGTGAGGAAACAGCTCGAGGTGGAAGTCAAGGCGCTCCTTTTTAAGGGCCAAGCTGAGTGCGGCACAAGCAGTTTCAAGCCCTTTCGGTGAGAAGGGCCTTTTTTTGATTCTCTTCATGTAGGTAAGATGTTTTCTTTTTTTCAGTCGGTGAGATTGGGTACGAATTCTTTATCCTCCAGTCATTATGACCGCAAGGCCAGGAAGTCACTCCCTCTTTTGAGCGACGCAAAATGGACCAATCATGTCTGTCTATTTCGTCTAGTTGTCATGTATTCTAGTTGTCATGTGGGACTTTTACTTCCGCCAACAAATGCAAAGCATTGGAAAACCAGACGAACATGATGTGATGCTTAGGACTCCAGGTCATTATAAGTGGTTGGTGGTGCTCCAGGACTCCAGGATGATTTCCTGTCTGACGTGGAAGCGCCAAGGATGACTGCGGATGACCGAGTCATGACATCACTGGTTCAGTCCACTTGTGTCTTCAGGAAGGGCTACAGTCGATCTGGGTAATCTCAGAAAGAGGGTAGGTACACACTGCACCCATTGGATCCACATGGCAAAAGACACATAAAGAAACAACCATGTGCATGATTGTTGGTTTGCTTCTTTAAGCCGGGCCACACGCACCAGTCAAGCGTTGGTTGCTTCGGAACCATCTCCACACTGTGTGGGGCGACTTGCTGTCAGGCCCGAGAGGAAGAAGTGGCACGACGGGCAGAGGAAGAGAAAGCGGTGGAAGGTGCCGGGAGAGCCAGCGATTTTCCCCAAAGAGCCGTATATGGACGATTTCATTGCACCAAACACATCGGTGCAACCACGTCACAGAAGTAAGACTATACACACATCGGTCCTCAAAAAATGTGTGTATATATATATATGATTGTGTATATATATATGTATGCAATGAGATCCTTATTTGCATGCTGACGATCATGGCGTTGCACCAGTAGGTCATCGCTTCACCCAGTGGCACAGGTTTTGGACCCATCAATCGTCATCCTGGTTTTTGGATGTTTTGGTTTGTCCCGAAACTCAGTCCCAGTGGTTGGTTAAAACTATGTGGACAAGTCGCTTGTACTAATCGAAACGAGCCTGTTCCATGTAGATACCAAGCTTGATGCAACAAGGTTGCCGGTTCAGTGTCCGTCCATCACGATGAAGGCTTGAGTTGAAAGTTAGGGTCCTATCATAGCTCACGATTTCCCAGGTTTGGGTCCTCATGTCTTGGCTTCAGATGGAGACTGTATTCATCCCAGTTCCCTGCCTACTATAGGAGCAAGACGAACGGAGCATTCATACTAGGAGCGTCACAACAATAGTAGACCACAATCGACGTGTCGACCGTATCGACGTGTCTTTCAATCATGTCCTCCCCGTCGAGAGCCCACGCCAGGTGAGGAGCGTGAGACCAAGGAACGTGTCACTTCCATCTTCCACGGAAACAAGGACCGGTGGTCACCAGTCGGCGCTGGAAGAAACTCACCGGTCGGTCACAGTGGTGTTTTCTCTTTTTGGGGGGGAGGGGGGATTGACCACAGTGTGCCAAACTATTCTACAGTATCTAGAAATTTGCGACTGCACGATTTTTGGGTGGTTGACTGCAGGGTCCACACGCCATAGTACCTTGTTCTTAGGGGTCTTAGGGATTTGAAGCCACCTCATTCATGAGGTGTTTTACATGAGTGCGTCGAGTTTTTCCGTTCAGCACAACGGTTCCGATACTTGGATTGATGATGACGATGATGATGGTGATGATGATGCTGATGATGATAAACGACGACAACAATGGGTCGTTACGAGTCATCAGTAGTTTTGGATAGTTTTGGTAACTTTGACATTGTTCATCGTATCAAATGTTTGAGATCAATGGTCGTTCACTCCTTCTGCAACTGTCACCAGTGGAGCACAATGTTCGGTTGCTTATATCAACTGCTCCTATTTTCAGAGGGATATATGCAAGTAGGACCAGCACCAGGTGGCTGTGACTGCAAGTACCCTCCAAAAGCGTTTCTCAAGCAATAGTGGAACAGCAAAGCGGCAGGGTGTGGCAAGTTCAGCGTGAACAAAGACAGGAGTCTTCAACATGCGCCGACTCTGTCGTTGGAGTCTTCCGCAAGTGTGCAAAAGTCCTTCAGCAGCGTGCACAATCCATAGGATTGTTGTTTTGGGTTGGCATGGATTTGGGACTTCGAAGAAGATCAAGAAGCTACCGCAAACCACACTCTTGGTTGATGCAGATGTACACAGTGTCGAAGAGATCAGGCAAGCAATCAGCCGTTTGAAGGATGAGGGCGGACTGGTCCGCACAAAGATTTTTGCTGAACCCGCAAGACAAGACAACAAAAAATGGGGTCGGCTGATCAAAGAGCAAGGTGTCGCATTCTGCCCGGTTCATCGAGCAACTATTGTTGACCATGCCAAACAGCCCAACGATGAAGCAATCACCTTGGCCATGCAGGAGCTATCTGGTCAGAGTCATAGTTGTCATGATGGAGTGGCATTGCTGACATCTGATTTGGGCTTTCTCGTGGCCGTGCTCAAAGCCCAGGCTTCAGGGCTGAGAATGACAGTGGTGATCCCTGAGTACAAATATTCAACGCTTAGAGGATACAATGACTCGGGTGTGAAGGTTTTAGAGCTAGAGACAGGGAGTCAAGAAAGAGGTTCACGAGTTAGAGCCATTCTTCACACAAATGGAGACGGTTCGGTCAAGCTTGTTGCTGATGCCTACAGGTCGTTTGACAACACCAAAGGAGGCGAGTTTGTAAGGGGGGTTCTGCAAGAATTGGGATATGCAACTGGAAAGTATTTGACACCAGCCTGTGCTAAATTCTGGTTTGCACATGGCTTGGGATCGTTAGTGGTGTTTCCTGATCAGCTTTCAACACTGGCAGTGCAGAAGGCCATCAGTCAGTCATCGAGGGCCAAGTCATGGAAGCGGTACAATGACAACTTGGCGTTTTTCGCACCTACTCGTCGAGTGGCTCGAAGTGGCACATATGGGAGCATATTGGCTCATTCTATCTTCCTTGCAGGTGGCCCATTCATGTTGAAGGATTCACCATTGCTAGTATCTCAGGCCTTGAGGAGGCTCGGTTATTTGGACGACGAGATGAATGCGGATGAGTCAGAGGCGATGTTCAATTTTGTGAATGTGTCGGCAAACAAGGTAATGCTGAGGATGATTGGCATCTTGCCATGTCTTGAAGATAGTAGTGCGGAGGTGAGAGAGAAGCTTCGGGTAGCATTTTTGTCGCATGAATCTAGATCTCAGTGGCAAATGCTTGGTGGCACGAGTGAGCGCGTGCAGCAGATTCTGCTCAAAGAAAAGCTCCTGGCCAACTCGCATTTTGGATGCTCATCTTGTCAAATCCTCGATGCAATGAAGGCTTATGTCAAGAAATTCCAGCTTGAACACAAGAAAACCTTCAATGCACTGGCTCGTGTGATTATCCATCACAGTGACAAGAGCCCATCAAAGCGTGCGATGATTGAGTTCAAACTGTAATGCTGAGCTTCTTGTTAAAGCTAGCCGTTTTTAAGTGAGCAAACGCTGAGTTGACATGCGAGAACAACGAAGCGGTGCTGGGTGCAACACAGACGTGCATTTGTGATCGTTAATGTTCGAGCTAGGCTCATCAAGATTTCATCTATATTGTTGGGGTCTTGAGCAGTCTGTACATTTAATGAACCCTGGGAAGGTCTTCGTTTTTTTTTGTGGTAGAAGCATGGACTGTGGGTCTAGGGTTGAATGCAGAAATTAATTTACAGTAGCCCCCTCTGAGCTATAGTTTGCGCTCGTTTAGTTGTTGTGTTCCAAGTAGATGCAAGAACTTGTCAACAGTTCTGAGATGTTCTGATGTATGGATGCACGAAATGGTCACAAACACACTCACCATGCCTATTGGTTGCTACCATCAAACCACAGGTTTGTGTTGTTTTCTATTTGCTTCTTATCAATTGCTGTGTCCATTTGGGTTCCTGCTCGTCCCAGCATGTTAAGTTAGGAGTCTAAGAAGTGACCAAGCAAGACGTGGAAGCTGTTTTCTTTCGTGCATGTTGGATTGAGATACGGTTGCAGGATTTCGATATAAACGGGTGCCCTTTTATATATCACTGGTTTTGAGTCAACCTGCAGTTGTACCTACCTTGTTGGTGGTTGACCATCTCTACCAGACTCAATTGCTTTAGTTTTCTTACGAAGGCTTACACAGGTGCGCCTGACAGTGGCCAATCTTTTGAGTCATCACAGTGCCATGGATGCGGCGATTCAGGAGACGGACTATGCCGGCCGATCCTGGATTGAGAACAAGGCCATTGGTATATACTAGTTACTAGTGGCTTCTTGCTACTAGTAGCCATGCACCTGTTACTAGTAGTTTCTTGCTACTAGTATCTGCCATTAGTAGTGCCAGGAGCTACTGGTAGTTTCTTGTTACGAGGCATGTTGAGTTGAGTTGATAGGTGTCGATGTTGATAGGAGTGCTTTCTGTCAAGCAATGGCTTCGGACATGCATGTTCATTTCTTATCCGAACCCAGTGTGTGGACGACAATTTCGCACGCCGTGTCCAGACTAACATCACCAAAGATGTGGATGACAAGCAGCCGTTGCCTTAGATATGTCATGAGGCATCAAACTTACCATGCGTATTGTATACCAGCACCCTCCAACGGGTCTCCTTTGGAGTTGACTCGACCCAAAAGTCGCAAGTGGTGACCTTTGTGATTCTACCATCGGATGTAACGCAAGATGACCAATTCATTTTGGGTGTTCTGTTGGTTGGCATCATCCACTGCATGAAGGAGTCATATACGCAATTTGTTTGGTATATATATATATATATATAGATATACACGTCTCTTGGACGTGGCGAATTTCAGCTATACCATGGCGTGGTTTGGTAAACCTAACGCAACCCTGTGGGTAAAACAGACTGGCCTCACAACATGATGGCGACTTCTCCCGGTTTGCACCTCGAGACATCTCCAAAGGACGAGTCGCCGGGGCCCGTTGGTGTGGGCCACCCGAAGAAGCAACCCAAAAAGGTGCAGGTCTTGAGGGAAAGCCTCCAAGTGGTGCTCGTTACAGCATGTCCTTTCCAGTGCTCTTGGTGAGCAAAGGAACATGTGGATTGTACTTCCTCACTCCATAGTCATAACTTGAGCAGCACCGGTGCTTGGGACTTCGTCATCTCGCATCTCGTGGCCCAAGCTGAACAAGCCGCTCAGCTGTGGATGGCTGAGGTGTTTCTTGCCCAAGAAGTGGGTTCACACCTGGCACGGCACCCGAGCTGTTTTTTGTGTTTCCTCTGGGTCGAGCTGGGCGAGCAGTTTTTTTCCCCTTCAGTCTCGCCACGTGATGGGGCACAATGTAACATGTGCACAAAGATGTAGTAGTAGTAGTAGTAGTAGTAGTAGTAGTAGTAGTAGTAGTAGT